ACTGAAAGTGATCGTGGGGCGGGTGCAGTTTGATTGCAGTTGCAGGATCTGCCTGATGGCTCCATTTGGATACTGCAAAAGCGGACACGCTTGGCCCTCCTTTTTTGAATATAAAGTCGGGGCCCCTTCAAACAATGGTTTCTTGCACACCAACCAACCAACCAACCAACCAACCAACCAACCAACCAACCAACCAACCAACCAACCAACCAACCAACCAACCAACCAACCAACCAACCAACCAACCAACCAACCAACCAACCAACCAACCACCAACCAACCAACCAACCAACCAACCAACCAACCAACCAACCAACCAACCAACCAACCAACCAACCAACCAACCAACCAACCAACCAACCAACCAACCAACCAACCAAACCAAACCAAACCAAACCAAACCAACCCAACCAACCAACCAACCAACCAACCAACCAACCAACCAACCAACCAACCAACCAACCAACCAACCAACCAACCAACCAACCAACCAACAACACAACCAACCAACCAACACTTCCAAAGGCACCAAAAACCAATGAAAAGCCGCCCCCAAACCAACAAGGTGCATCCATCCCTTCTGATTCCGAGGTGCTCGTAGCGCCAGCGGAAGGTGTGGGTCTTCATCCTGGGGTCTTCAATTCGCTTCGCGGATGGACGTGTCTGAGAGCCATGTTGCTGGGCCCAAAGCTTTTTTGGCGGGCTGCTAAAAAAAAGGAGTTGGCAAGCACCACTAAAGCACACCCACAGACTCATAAAGCTTAAAAGCTCCACTAATTCCGCTGTCTTTCTTGATACCGCTCTTGTCCTTTTGGGCAGGGGATCTCTTCCAGTGCCTGAGGCCATGTCCGATGCGCATGTCTCAGCCTGGCTCCACAATGTCCATCGGCCGCATACCAAGTCATGGCCCAAACAGACCTGACAAATCTAGGAAAACATCCCAAACGATATTCAATGTTTTCCTATCTAAAAGTGTGCCCAACAATTGAACGACCCGTTCCCTTCCATTTTTGAGTTTAACGGAAACCAAGAGGAAAACCAAAGCAATTTTTGGGGGGTAATTATATATATTCCAAAAGTTGACGAGCCACCCAAATGGAAGCACCGGGTGCGACAAACCCAAGAACGAGGGTTCGTCAGCTTCCTCCAATTGGTGGCTTGGATTGGTGGCTGGGTGGTCAGAAGTGGTTTCCCATGTAACCTCTACAAAACCCAAAGGGTCAAATCCCCAAACCATCAATCCAACCACCAACTAAGTGCTACACTCCCTCAGACTAACCAAAGGAAGCTCCCCCCAATCGGCCTCTGTAAAGATGGAACCAAGCCTTCCAAAACAGCTTGGCAGCTCCGGTTTCTTTGATAACCCCAAAACGGGTCAACATAATGAGCCCAACTAAGTCTCACCTGAACTGGGCTGTCCTCAGATATCCCGCTAAGATGTTTGAACTTTTAGTGGGTCAAATACGGAAACACAACCACAAAACCAACTAAACACATCTGAAAACCTAAGGAACCGGACAATTCGCTGGTTCGGAACCGCCTCGCGTGAAAGGTGCTCTCTGGTTCTCAGCGGGGAATGAGAAATGGAAGGACCCCTATAACCCATCCCTTGCTGATTTTCCCACATCCCCCACCTATCGCACCGATCGCAACAAGGGTCCCCCCCCCCCAAAAAAAAAAGGAAAGCTTTCCCTGTGGTTCCCCAACCAAAAAAAAACGGCTGCTGCCTTTTGCAGCACCGAACAGCGAGCCAGGAGCCAGGTCCTTTCCCTAATCTGCGGAGCCCCGAGCCAGTCGATCCGAGGCTCTTGGACCCGGAGAAGCTGAAGGACGCCTTCGTCCACGCGACGGTGCCAGAGGCCGGGAGCCCGCCCGTGTTCTGCTCCATCTCCTGGGCTGCGAGTTGTTTTGTGTTTTTTTTTTGTTTATCTTCTTTTTCCGGGGGGGAACCGAAGCAAAAGCCCCGAAATGGGTGGCTCGCCCGTTGTTAGGGGAAGAAAACATCGATTTCATCGGTTTTGGGCTTGAAGGAATGGGTTAAATGTCAAGAGTCGACATTTGGGGTCGACCGGTTGAAGATGAGTTCCAGGATCGGATGCGCAAAACACCTGATTGTCCTTTGGTGCAAGGGATCGGATTGTCCTTTCTTGGAACCCGTCTCCCGAGTGCCCTGAGACATAGGGAAACTTGGCGAGCCCCCTCCCTGGAACCGAGCAAGTTCCTCTACGTTCCGAACCAAGTGAGTGCTCCTTTTTTCGCGGGCACCCCATGCTTTGGTAGTTTTGAAGGGAAACCAAAAAGGGAAAAAATGGAAAACAGCCTCTTTCAGGGTACCCCATTGTTTTGGGGGGGGGCCCTAAAAAAGGCAAACCCGAACAAACCATTGGCAACTTTCACATCTCAAAAAATCAGAGGCTCAGGTGTATTTTCATACGTTGTCTACCCCAAAACCAAAAAAAGTGAGATATTCCAACAACCCAGCTGGATTTTCTTGCAGGACTTGGGGGAGAAAAAAAAGAAAAGAAAACGGCGATCCCCAAACCCAACCCCAGACGGAGCCCTGGGCTCGTCGATGAAGAAGCGCAGCAGGTCGGCCTGGCGCTCGGAGTCGATGCGGTAGAAGAATTCGATGATGCCCCCCCGAGGGGCCGTGTGCACTCCTGGCGGCGCTTGCGCCGCGCAGGTCGCGACGGACGAGTCAGACTCCAAACCCAGAGAAAAGACGCGGTCGATCCCCAGAACCATGCTTCAGGAATCTAAAAGGCAGCGAAGGGACCCATTTGTGGCAAAAGGGTTGGCCCTTACCTTCATCTACCCGGGTTTTGAGCAAGTGGCTCAGGTGCTGAGGTTGTTGGGATTGCTGGGCTGGGCCAAAGGGGGGGTAGCACTTTCGGTCGTGGTATGGTGGGGTGGTTGGAACCTTGCAGAAACTCTGAACATCATCCCAAATGGTGATGTCCTTTTTTGGTGCGAAAGGCAATGCATGCAATGGCGTCAAAGTGTATGTCACAAGAAGCCCTGTTTGAATGTGGGACAAAGCCTCTTGGTTTAACTGGCTGGTGCTGGAAAACACCCATTTGACCGCCTGCTTGTTAATTTGTGTATGCTCCATTCTCCCAAACACCTAAACAGGCTACTAGCGCTACCAACCGAAGAAGTTTGAGCCCCCAGTTTTGGATTGGGAGTTTATGCGCCCAGAAAACGGGCGCAAAAAAAAGCAGCCATGAGCCGGCCTGAAAGCAGCACGTCCAAGTGCTGGCCGTCTTTGGGCGCCAGCAAGCCCCGCATGCCGCTCTGCAGGAAGAAGCCAAAGTCCCCCCGCCAGTTGGTGCCTCAACGATTTGTCAGAGGAATTTCCAGCCCTGCAAGGAGGTGCCCCGTCTTGCAAGCCTACGCGACCCACGAACGGCTTGTACAGCAAAAGGCAAAAACAAAGAAGCGGGGTCCCTCTGAAATGGGTCGCACCCTCCTTGTCAACCATGGGTTTATGAAGCCATGGTGCCCTTGTTGCGGTTGTGCAACAACAAAACAAAAACCACAAAGCGTTGTTTGATTATGATTGTCCCCGGGAAATTGTCCCCCTCTTCAAACAAAGAAGAAAAAAAAGAAAAAAGAACACCTCAAGTGCACCATCAAGGCCTGAATACTTAGAATCGGGTCTTCGCACTTCAAAACACAAACTTCCCAGTAGCCAACTATTGCTAAGCATTTACCCCCTTATGTACCCAGAAATTGTTGCAAGGGCGTCCACTAGAAATGATTTTTGCAGCAGCGTGGGAAAATGGATCGCAATGTGAGCAAACAACTAAAACATGTTGGCACCTTGGCTCGAAAATTACTGCCGAAATGAAGAACCATCCATTTGTGTAGTTCTGTAGCCCCAAGCAAGTTCAGAGCAACCTCGTTTGACCCGGAACCGGGAAGCTCGTCGTCACTTGGGCAATTGCATGTTGGGGGCAGGGCGGGTTGACGGCATGCATTTGTGTTTCCGGCAGGACTTGGAAAATCAGTCCTCAAGGGGTCATGCCCCTCTAAGACCAAGGGGGGTGCTTACAACACAACTGGAAATGCTGATTGTAGGAAACCGGGCTGCGAGCCCGCGCCCTTGTTGGAGGAACAGGGAGCATCCCCAACAGCCGAACGGAGTTTGTTCCCCCAAAACAACCATGCGCACACTCTAAACGTTGTATAGTCCCCAGATCCTTTGGGCACAAAGCAAAGCCCCGACCCCGCCTGACACCACCGCCCAGTTCATCAGCCCGCCGGAGTTCTCAATGCTCCTTGCCAATGGCTCCAAAGCAAGGGAGTGTCCAATGTGGGTCGATACAAGAACAACGGATGTTAAGCTGACCCCTCAGAGCCGGCCTGCCACGCGTTCCCGAACCCCCCTCCGAGCCGGACCCGGGGGTTGCTGACCCCGCGCGTCGCTTCACCCGGGACCCTCCTCAGAACGGGGGTCAGCATAAATATTCATATAAATATAGACATATACACACATAGTGGTCCTCCATGGTCCGAAAAGGGAGGGACAAGAAGAGTCAGTTTGGCTCCGGCTGGCCAAGCAGAACACGGCCCGCAGGCTCAAGCCCATCTCCAGTCGCTTAAGGACTACATTGATTAGACGTCACCTGAGCATTCTCCAAAAAGGGAAGGCGTCGGTTGTGTTGTGGTTCATGTGCTCCCACATGCGAAAGTTGCAATTCTGCGAGGGCATGCTGGCCCACCCTCCTGGTCCTCCCCAATGACCCACAAACAACAACAGCAACTCCCGGATATGTTTGGAACCCTCCAGAACAAAGCGTCTCCAAACCGCCAAGAGACGTTTTGGTATGTGTCAAGATATTGGCAAACCTGCAAACGTAGTGATGTTCCTGTGCTCCTGCTCGTTTCCCTTTAAAACCAACTCAAAAAGGGGTATTAACAAAACAACTCAAAACATACACGCATACACAAACCCACACCCAGTCAGGGGTAAGGGAACGCTCTCGTATCTTTTCGTCGCGATCCGGTCAGAGTGATCAAAAAAAAATGGGAACGCGCCACCCCCTTTTCGGGAATGCCCTCAAAGAAAGGTTCCCTTGGAGCCCCAAAAAAAATATACCAAAAAAGAACACGTTCCCTCCACAAGAACCACCAGAACGGCACCAAAACAAAAAAAAAAACAACCCCTCCCCTCCCTCCTCCGCCTCCCGCAATCAAAAAAACAAACACAAACACAAACACACACACACACACACAAGACCAAACACTCGCTTCCTGAGTGGATTGACCAAAAAGTGTCCGGATTGCTTTTTCCCCATTAAGATGGTCCAAACCCAAAGTTCGGAAACTCAGGACCACAAAAAAAAAAGACCACGCTAACAGAAACACGCAACCAACTAAACGACCAACCAACCGACCAACCAACCAAGCAAACAAACAAAACAAACAAAAAAGGCACCCCCGACTTTCCGAAAACATCCGAAAACGGAATGCAGTCCAAAAGCGCAACCAGGGCGCAACCCCGCCGGCAGCGCGTGCGCGTCCCGGTCGCTGCGCCGGAAGCGGAGCCGCAGCGCACGGGCGTCCGCGCAGCAGCGGACACGCGCCAAAGGCTCCTGGGGGTCACTGAGAGGGGGTCAAAAGGTTTTCCATTCTAGTGCTACCTTCCATGTCCATTCTTTCCAGGGATCCTTCTTTCTAGAAAACCTCCGGAAACCAAGGGAAACGGCCGGTTTTCGAAAAGAACGATACTTGGAAAGAATGGGGAATCAGCCCTTAGATCCATGGGTTTCTCGGCTAACAAGCGGTGGTCCTTAGAGGAAACAGGCTTCCCAAGAGTTTGTCCAAGAGGGTGTGGATTTGAAGGTGAGGGTTTTCAAGGGCTGAAGACCAAGTTGTTCGTTGGGAAACGGGCTCTCAAAGGTTTCGCAAGAGTGTTCCGAGTTTTCCTTGGGGAGGGTTGCGGGTTTCCAAGGTTTCCAACCGTTTCCTGTTTAGGTGTTCCAAGCCCTTTTGTGAGGGGCGTTCAAAGCGTTGTCCACTAGGCTCGGTCTTTCTTAGGGGACTGACAAAATGCCTGGGTTTTCCTTTAGTCCCTTCAAAACCACCAAAAGAGGGTCCCAAAGAATGTTGTCCGCATTCTTAGGCTGAAACCAAGATTTCCATCCACACGAACAGGTCTCGTCGCTCCCTCCCTGATTCTGGACCGAGCAAAGGGTTGTGATCCACCCACCATGGAAAAGCCATGCGGGTGTGGCTCAAAATGATAGGGCTAGGGTTACGCAAGTTTTAGTTTTAGGCTCCATTTACCAAGGTGCCAATTTTGGGTTCCGTTCCTTTGAGCCGGTCTCCTCTTGGGCGATTCGGTCACACCAAAGACCAGCCACGAAACTTCGGCGGAGGATGCTCGGGGTTGGGGCCAAAAGTGCGAAACAATCAAGCCCTGAGCCCGTTGTAAGGCGGAATCAAACGGAGGTGGACATGTGGACAAAAAAAAAATCTAACTCTAAACTCGAACAGTCAACTCTAAGTGTCTGAGGAACCGTATGAGGCTGTGTCATTTTTTTAGGGTACCCTCAAAATGGAGTGGTGTCCTTTCGTTTCCATTTAAGCCGACCCAGAAAAGAACACCGAGCTCCCAAAAAAGAAGACAGACCCTATGGCCAGAAACCACGCCTAAGCTGGGGCCCCTGGCATCTGCCACGGTACATCTCGGCTTCAGCTGTCCCTCGGCCGGATCGACCCCCCCCCCTTTTAGTTGTTTCTTTTGTTTTTGTGCCGGCGCTGCTTTTTGCTTCTTGGTAGCCATGCTCTTGTTTTGGTGGTTCTGTCTTGTGCTTTCAGCAGTGGGTTCTTGTTTATCTCCTGATCGAGTAGGAGTCTTCTGCGCGCGAAGCCTCCCCAAAAGGCTCTCGGAATGAAATGCTCCAAACTCGCAAGCTCTCCGTTCCCCCCAGACTTCTGGCGTGTCTGCTTGCTGCCTGCTTGCTCAGGGCGGGGAAAGCTGCTATCCACTTTCCGGGTGTGTAGGATGTGGACCCAAAAATGGCTTAACAGGTGTCCTTTTGGTTTTCCTTTCACTTCAACCTCCCCGAAAAAATGTGCCTTCAGCCTCAACAAAAGACCCAAAAAAAGTCGAACCCCTGCCAGGAAGGCCCGGGTCTGGCGCTAAAGCCCTCCAACGGCCCACGCTCCCCGCAGGTCCCGCCCACTTTGTTCACTTAGACGTGACTCGCTGGTCTTTTCTACTTTGCTCGACTCGTTTCTACTTATGTCAACTTGTCTCACTATAAAAGGCGGCCGTCTCTTCGCTTGACCTCCCACAGCAAGCGAGGCCTCTCACTCGCTCAGCGAGGCGCCCGGAAGGCCGTGGCCCCCACCAGCGACAGGAACTCGTTGGTGCCGCACTTGGTGCCCGACCACACCCGCGTCCGGTCCATGCCGCAGCCCGTGCCTCGAAATCCGAATCGGATCGCATCGAAGTGGCGGGTTTGGGTTGGGGGAGGGGAGGGGGGGGCGGCGAAGGTGGTTGTGTCTACCCGGCTTGTGAAGCTTGGGGATTGCAAAAAAAAACCGAAGGGTGTAAACAAAGACTCCTTGTGTTGTGTTTCAGGCGGCCTAAGCCCAAAGAGAGTTTGTGGGTGTGTGTGTGTGTGTTGAATTTTAATGAGAAGAGATTTGTTGTGTTTTTTTTTGGAGTTGATCATTTTCAGTATATGTTCCAAAAAGGGTGCTTCTTTGTTTATGTTGCTTCCTTTTTGTCTTGAACGAAGACACCTCCTTGTTGGCCTTCGACCATGTGTGGTGTGCGTTTCAAAAAGTAGAACTAGAGAACAATGTCTTTACCGGAGGAATCTTTTTCGGTGGTTGTGCGTGAGTTGCAAAGCTGCCGCCTGGTCTCTTGGGTGTGCAAGTGGTCTGCGTAGGGTTTTGCTTAAGAGTCTGTGGCTGCATCTCCAAAAGAGGTGTGAGTGGACATGAGTGCTTGAACCTGTACGCCATCATCTGAGTCTGGTGGCATGTCAGTACACTGGCAGGTACCCTGGGCAAGTAATCATATCCCATGAAAAGCACCCTGAGATTGTTTCGCTTTATGTCCTATCCTTCTGAAAAAGCAAAGTCCGATCTGGGCCTGCCCTGTGCCCTGCATAAGATCAGCTTGTGGAAAAAATGAACATGGGCCAAACCTCCGTTCTCACAACTGCCGAACCTCTTTCCCGATATGGAAATCAGGTGGCATCTCGCGCAAATGCAGCAACTCTCCGCCCATTTTGCGCTCTGTCTCTACGCTACATTATGGTCCCAGGGTCGGCTGGCTGGGGTAAAGGCTTTACAATGCCGACAACGACAGAAATGATCACAAGCACTGGCCAAGACCGGTCACGTGCCGGCGGCTTCCTCAAAATCGCCTATACAAACACGGGAGGAAAACAGAAAAGGAGCTCTGACGTCCACGTCGTAAACCGAGTGGCCGACAGGTCCCATCCCGATAGCGTGCGATAGCTTTGAAACTGAGATCTCGGGGCCTGCAATCGGTTTCATCCGATACCTCCGGAGATTTCAGAAGTGCTAAGGAATTTAGCACATGAAACGATGAAAGGAAACTGCAGGTATTTGAACCTTGAATTCTGTGCTAAATGTAGCACGCTTTAAACGCTGTCGGTGCTAATGTTTTTGGCAAGCTCTACAACGCAAGGTCTTTGTCTTGCTTTTGGTGCCAAAATCTGAGCACGCTTCACCCTTCCATTCTTTGACTCCCCCAAGTTCCCGAGGGATTCCACTTGGCTGCTGTACTCTGGGCCACTAGGCACCACGCGCCCGACAGGCACGGGAGAAGGCGAGCCAAAGGGAGTAGGCCATTGCGAGCAGCGCATGCAGCAGCAGGTTGGTCACCAGCATCGAGGCCACCATAGAACCCGCCAGCCCGGAGTAGCCCAGCCTCAAGGGCACCGCTCCCAAGCCAAAGTTCACAAAGAGCCAAGCCGTGAGGAAAATCCAACGGCTCCAGGAACGGATGGCCATCGCATGCTTGCGCCAATCCTCAACCGCCACCTTAGCCTCGGGCATCTTCCCCTCCGTTTTCTCGCGGGTGGCCCACTTGGCGCTGACCCCGTCCGCGTTGGCCACCGCCACCACCGGCTGCTGCACCAGCTCCACGAAGGCTGCCAAGGGGACGGCCAGCACCAGCAGACCCGCCCAGGGCGCCCTCAGGCCATGGGGCAGCTGCAGCAGCAGCAGCACCACAGACATGGCCAGGGGCATGGCCGCGAAGCAGAGGTTCCGGTGGGCCAGAAAGAACATCTGCAGGGCGCCCAAGCCCATGAAGAAGCCCATGAAGGCCGAGTGCATCTTCGGCTTCGATGGCACCGAGCTTCCGGCCGACAGCGCCGCGTAGAGGCAGATCACCAGCCACAGCGCGGCATGCACGCCGGCGCCGAGGCCGCGGCCAAGGCCAGCATCCTCCAGGAATTCGGCCGCCAAATGGGAGAACCACAGCGTCAAGGTGGCCGGGGCTAGGTGGGGCGTCCAGAGGAAGGAGGCCACGTGCACCAGCCAGAAGGGCCAGCGCGAAGGCTTGCAGCACCAGACCTTGGGGTTCAACAGCAAGGCGCTGCGGTTCCCAAGGTGGGACCGCTTCCAGCGGCACTGCTGGGCCAGGTACTCCAACCAGGTCTCAGGCATGAACGAGCTGGCGTGGACCTGGGGCATGAACCGGATCCCGTGCACCCCGTGCACCCTCTCTTGCACGTGCTCGTGGACGAGGTTGGTCATGAAGCTGTCCTCCCCCATCTCGATGCGCATGTTGTCCAGCATGGAGTCCTCCCGCACAGCCCGGCAGAAGTGCTCCTGCACAGCCTGCACGGCCTCCATGGAGTACATGGCGCAGGACCCGTTCAGCGGCGCCTGGAAGCGGAACACGCTCTGGCCCAGCCACAAGATCCGTTGGGAGGCCCAGTCCCGCACCAGTTGGACCAAGAGGCAGAAGCTGGTCCGCTTCTCCGCCAGCATGAACGGGCCGCAGGCCGCCAGCCTTTGGTCCCGCAGGCAGTGGTAGAGCTCGGGCAAGTGACGATGCTCCACACGGCAGTCCCCGTCCAGCAGCAGCAGCGCCTGAGGCCCAGAAGCTGTCGGGCCGCTCTCCACGTCTGCGCTCTCCGCGTCTGAGGGCGCTTTGGGGGCGCTGTGCAGGAGGGACATACACAGCGCCTGGCTGGCACGCTTAGACCGCGCCCAGCTCGTCTTGATGTACAGCTCGAAGGGCACGTCGCGGCTGCTGCATGAGAGCTCCCCCTGCACCCGCACGCAGCCGTGCACACGCTCCGGATTTCTCAAGCAAAGCAAACCGCTCATCGCCTGCAGCGTCGCAAAGTCCTCCCCCCAGTCAGATTCCTTGGCCAGCGGCGATGCCTCTTCACTCCGCGGGCTGCGGCCGGCTGAGCTGCCAGAGCTGCTGGGCGCCCGAGTGCTGCTCTCAAAGTCCTCCTCATTGGAGGCCTTGAGAAACTGGAGCACCTGCTCCTCCTTGCCCTGCAGCCCGTCCAGGAAGATCATGACGCGCACCGCCGGGCCAACGTCCGACGCCGACGTCTCGCGGAAGGTCCGCGGAAGGTCGGAGTACCCCGCTTGAAACCCCACGGTGCCTAAGCTGTGCTTCAGCTCCTCCTGGGTCTCCCGGTAGCAGCTGAGCACCACCACCAGCTCCTCCTCACGCACCACATCGTCCACCAGGTCCTTGACCAGCAAACTTGGCGCCGCTGTGGTCTTGGCCCTTGCGAGCTTGGTGCGCAGGAGCAGCACCCGTGCCCAAGCGACAAGGACAAAGATGGCTACTGCCAGGGTCAAGACACCTCCAGCCATGGCACGATTGCTTTGCACGTCCATTACCTCCATGGCTGACAGGCAGACTGGTTTAGCTGACACAAACGCCTTCTGCCAAAATGGCTACACCGTATCCATTTTACCATGTAAACATTTATCGGAACCAAACACAACCGCCGCCTTGTCATTTGCTCTCTGAAAGCCTTTGGTGACCTCTCAAGACTCGCCGGACGTACAGGGTAAAAGTAGATGCCACAAATCCCTACATGTGGGCAAAGAAAGGGGATGACCAAAGCGAAATGAGGGAGGTTGTGCCATCTACTTAAAGCGGGGGCACCGTACTGTGAGTAAGGTGGGCAATAGCCACGGTTATAACCACTTGCTACGTTGCCCTGCCCTACTTTCACCCAACTGTAGCTGACATGCGCCCATTTCCCTCCCCCCCCCCCAGCTTTCTCCCCTCCCGCCTGCCGCCTCGTCCGCTTCCAGCTCGCTCCGGGTGCACAGTCTGGCCCCGACCTCCTGAGGCAAGCGCGAAGCGGCGAGCACGGCACGCGCGAAACGGCGGTGTTGGTCGTGGGCCGTCAATATGAGGGCCTGAATGATGATTTCAGAATTCATATGGAACGTTCGCTTCTCCCGTTGCATTAAAAGCAATAAACAACTAAAACAAGTGCTAACATTCTCCTATGACCACGGCTCTCGGGGCAGCAGTTCGGTCGGGAAATTGAAACCACATGACCGATGCTCAGTGGCTCACGGACCCTGAAATCGTGGTGTTTGATCGTTTTTTCGACACTCGCATCTCAACGGAATGGCTGTCAACCAGCAAGTCCGCATAAAAACCACGAGGAAATAAACATCAGACATGTCGCGCTTCACAGCCCGTGATGATCAATCTAACGCGCTCAAGGGCCCCTCTGCTTCCCTTGCTAAACCTGTAAACCAAGTTTGCAACCCACCCCCCACAAAACCCAGCCCGAACCTCAGAGATCTATTTGTTGTTTGCCACGAGGGAATTGAAACCAAAAGGTTCGGCTCTTTTAGGAGTACATGACCCCCTATGTTTAATCTTATTTGGGGTGCACCAAATAGCCAGCGGCTCCCTTTTGTGTTCCCTTTTGCACCTCAAAAAGTAACCCCCCCCAACCCAACAACTAGACGACGAGTGGCCCGGAAGCATAGAGGCAAGTTGATGTAACTCTCGCAAAGTTAGCATGAGGAGTTGGCAGGCGAAGCAATTCTCAAAAAGTTGGCATGAGAAGCTGGCAGGTTAAGTAACTCTCGAATACTTGGCTGGCAAAGTTGGCGGGTGAAGTAATTCTCGCAAAGTTGACATGAGAAGTTGGCAGGCGAAGTAACTCAAGAGAAAAGTTGGCATGAGAAGTTGGCAGGTGAAATAACTCTCAAAGAGTTGGCATGAGAAGTTGGCAGGTGAAGTAACTCTCGAAAAGTTGGCGTGAGAAGCTGGCAGGTGAAGTAATTCTCGAAAAGTTGGCACGAGAAGATGGCGCGTGAAGTAACTCTCGAAAAGTTGGCGTGAGAAGCCGGCAGGTGAAGTAACTTTCGAAAAGTTAGCATGAGAAGTTGGCAGGCGAAGTAATTCTCGAAAAGTTGGCGCGAGAAGTTGGCAGGCGAAGTAACTCTCGAAAAGTTGGCAGGCGATGTTGGCAGGTGAAGTACCTCTCGAAAAGTTGGCATGAGAAGCTGGCAGGTGAAGTAATTTTTCGAAAAGTTGCCACGAGAGGTTGGCAGATAAAGTATTTCTCGAAAAGTTGGCATGAGAAGTTGGCAGGTGAAGTAATTCTCGAAAAGTTGGCAGGTGAAGTTGCCACGAGAGGTTGGCAGGTAAAGTATTTCTCGAAAAGTTGGCATGAGAAGTTGGCAGGTAAAGTAATTCTCGAAAAGTTGGCATGAGAAGCTCGCAGGTGTAGTAACTCTCGAAAAGTTGGCATGATAAGCTCGCAGGTGAAGTAACTCCTCGAAAAGTTGGCACGAGAAGTTGGCAGGTGAAGTAACTCTCGAAAAGGTGGCATGAGAAGCTGGCAGGTGAAGTAATTCTCGAAGTTTCGGCATGAGAAACTGGCAGGTGAAGTAATTAACCCTCAAAAAGCTGGAGCGGCGGAGGCGCTCCGCGTGCTACATTTGCAATTTACAGTTGCGATTTTCCAGCCATTTGTATCTAAAAGTTGCGATTTTCCAGCCGGAGCTGCGGGAGCACGCTCCGCGTACTACGTCTGTACTTAAAAAGTGCGATTTTCCAGCCGGAGCTGCAGCAGCCTCCGCGTACTACGTCTGTACTTAAAAGTTGCGATTTTCCAGCCGGAGCTGCAGGAGCACGCTCCGCGTACTACGTTTGTACTTAAAAGCTGCGATTTTCAAGCCGGAGCTGCCGCGGACCAGGGGGGAATCGAACCCGGGACCGCGGGATTGCGAAAGCAGGCGCGCACACCACGAGACAACTTCCAAAAGCCGTTTCGCGAGCAAGAAAATCGCACGGCGCCACAGCGAGAGCGCTTCGACACGCACGATCTCCGCAGAGGGTTCATCGGGCTCAAGACAGATGCGCACGGCGCCACAGCGAGAGCGATCCGACACGCACGATCCCGCAGAGGGTTCGCCGGGCTCAAGACAAATTCGCACGGCGCCACAGCGAGAGCGCTTCGACACGCAGGATCTCCGCAGAGGGTTCGCCAAGGTCAAGACAAATTCGCACGGCGCCACAGCGAGAGCGCTTCGACACGCACGATCTCCGCAGAGGGTTCGCCGCGCTCAAGACAAATTCGCACGGCGCCACAGCGAGAGCGCTTCGACACGCACGATCTCCGCAGAGGGTTCAGGTCAAGACAAATTCGCACGGCGCCACAGCGAGAGCGCTTCGACACGCACGATCTCCGCAGAGGGTTCGCCGCGCTCAAGACAAATTCGCACGGCGCCACAGCGAGAGCGCTTCGACACGCACGATCTCCGCAGAGGGTTCATCGGGCTCAAGACAAATTCGCACGGCGCCACAGCGAGAGCGCTTCGACACGCACGATCTCCGCAGAGGGTTCGGGCTCAAGACAAATTCGCACGGCGCCACAGCGAGAGCGCTTCGACACGCACGATCTCCGCAGAGGGGTGCGTTTCGTAAGCTCCCGTCGGGCCTACCCCCGCCATAAAAAGAAGAAGAATTAAGAGTCGAGATGTGAAGGTAGAACAGAAAAGTTAGCTTGTGTTTTTAGGATAGTGAAGTAACACCCGACAAATTAGCTTGTGCTTTTAGTAGAATGAGATAACAGCCGAAAAGTTGACATGAGAAGTTGGCAGGTGAAGTAACTCTCAAAAAGTTGACATGAGAAGTAGGCAGGTGAAGTAACTCTCGACAAGTTGGCATGAGAAGTTGGCAGGTGAAGTAACTCTCGACAAGTTGGCATGAGAAGTTGGCAGGTGAAGTAACTCTCGACAAGTTGGCATGAGAAGTTGGCAGGTGAAGTTGGCAGCCGCTTTTAGAAGAAGAACCCTTCGCAATGCTTCCGGGAAAAAGGCACGCCAAAAACTGCCCCCACCCCTGAAGCTAAACCCTGAACAGAAAGGGTCACCTGATTTCACATTTATCTTCCCTTCCCAAAAAGCGAAAAATGCGTGCTGCCATTTTTGAGAATTGATTTTTAAAGGCTTCTCCCGCTCCGAAAAAGAAAAAACAAAACTCGCCAAAAACAGCACAAAACTCAAAAAGCAACCTCTACACAAAGCAATGAACCCAAAGAAACATCCAGAAACCAACGGCTTCTCTCCAAAAACTCGACCCCAAGTGTCCACCACCATCCCCCTTCCCCCCCTTCTCCCCCGCCCAAAACCGGCGCGGCGCTTGGCGTCTCGCCTTGCAGTTCCGCTGCGCCGTGCTCCAGGGCACCTCCCCGCTGCAGCCCTTCAAAGGCGCCTCGTCGCTGGCCGCGCACACGGCTCCGTCGTCGTTGGCGCTGGAGCCTGCAGATCAGACCGATGGTTGCGACATCCGCGTCTCGCACCACCGAATGAAACCATGGCTGAAACTGAAACCTAGGCAAGTTTCCACAAGAAAGCCTCCAGTGACTTCCAAACATTTCTAGATGGGAGAGTACCCTCTCACGTTGTGGATGGGCAAAACCCTGCACCACTTTGAAACCATGGTTGAAACCAAAACGTTTGTTGGTAATTGTACGGGAATCGAATCAGACACCAGGGGGTTTCTTGAGTGAAAGTGTGTTTTCGTCCATCCACAGTATGGGAGTCTCAAAATCAGAAGCCAAGGAAGAGTTTGAGGGTGAATCGCGCGGCAGGAAGAAGCAGTTTTCAAACAAAGGGACCCAAAAAACCGTAGAACGTGTCTCCCTTTGGTTTTCCCGACGTAGTACATATCGCGTATTTGAGTGGTACATAACCCGTATACCTCCAAACCCCATACGTCGAACCAAAGGCTTCAGCCGAGCGAGGCGCGGGTGGGCCAGTTCAGCTCGGCGCAGGTCAGCTCCGACTTCATCTGCCGGCGAAACCAGCAAAAACCCCAACGGCGGGGCGTCGCTCATGCTGTGGGTGGGCGAAGTCCATTTCGCACCACTTTGAAACCATGGGAAACCATGGTTTGTGGATATTACAGGATAACAGGGGTTTCTTAGGTGGTGCAGGATTTCGGTGAACCTTCATCGTTGCCCACTTGGGTCAGACGCTGGTGGGCGATTGCTCGATCCTATCGTTTGAAAGGACAACCGCTATTCCACACTCGGACACAATTAGGACACCCCGGAAAGGCCGCGGAAGAGAGCTGCTCTTTGTTCTGATCGGCATACCTCGAAGAAGAACAAAGAAAACAACGTGCGGTTTCCCGCTACTCAAAGTGGACAGCACTTTGAAAACCCTACTCCGAAAGCCCATTTGTTTAGGGCCAGAGTAAGTATCTTCATCGCCTTTCCCGGGTCAACATAATAACCTTAAAAATAAGAAAATTGTATTTGGAGCAGGAAGAAGGCGCAAACTACCATGCCCGTACAGAACTCCTGGTAGCTCCGAACCAAGGCAAGGCACACAGAAATCCAACACGAGCAGAAGAAGAAAGCAAGGATAGCAAGTTGAGAAAGACTGGGAAATGCACTTGAAATTTTAGTTGAGGAGCAAGGCGAAAAAATCCACAAGATGCTCCACAAACAGGCAAATGTTGGATACTTCCAGCTCCTTAGCCCTTCACTTCCTTCCCAGCACCAGCAAATCTGGATTACTCCCTCCGCCCCCGAAGCAACTGCAGACATAAGGCAGAGAAGCCAACAAACATGTGCAAACCCCAAATGTCATGGAGAAAAGTCATTAGACCCAATGTAGATTTACTCTGGGCTGCCCTCAGATCCCCTGCTAAAAGTTTAACTTTTGATGGCTTAAATACGGAAACCCAACCACTAAACAAACTAAAAAGCTTTAAACAAGGAAGCGGATGGCTAGTTTAACCACCAAGTACTGGAGAAGTTCGAACTTCTCGAGCATTGGCGAAAAAGATGAAGAACGCTGGGCTAAACAAAGTCTGAAGTCTGCCTACCCAGCAGAGTACCGGAGAACCCCTTGCCAACAAACCGAAAATACCTCGGTCTCTCCACCCAAGCGGCGCCCGCAAGGTCGCCTGGCTGTCCTCCGTGCTCTTCGTCTCGCAGGCGGGCGCGCAGTAGCCTAAGCTTCGGCCGGAGGGCGGTGATGGTCCGGGGCGTCCTGCAAACCAGGTGAGTCACAATCAAAACCCGGTATTACGATGGTCTACCCAGAACCATGTAAAGAATTAGGAAGGCGGCCGCAACTATTGTCTGGCTGGGACTGCCCCTTACTAACATTCATCTACCCGGGTTTTTTGATTGTGGCTCAGGTGGTTTGGGGAGAGTGTCCTCTTTTCGTGAAAGCCGCGGGCTTGCGGTTTCGCCCGTCAAGGAGCCGCACATCTACCTTTCGACCTAGTGAAAAAAGGGTGCTCCCGTGGAACAAAAGAGGACAAAGGGAACCTCCCTTTTGCTAGAATTCGTCACTTGGAAGGCAGATTCCCCATTTGCATCACGGAGGAACTCTTCCGCAAACCTCAAGGCGATCCGTTCCTTCGGGAGCTTCCCAAAAGACCTTTTGCATGTCGTTTGATTGGAAACCAAAACCAAAGCGCTGAGATGTGAGCTCCAAAACCCACTTTGAAACACATTCAAGGGACTCCTTGGTGGACATGATTTGCATGGTTGCGAAAGTATGCCCACTACATCCTGCCACCAAGTTTGAGTCCAATTCCACCAAATCCAGCGATTCCCCCCAGTCCCGAGGACGAGCCAAAATTTTCTCAAACACATAAAACTCCCCCCTTCTGACTGGGGAAGTACACAAAATTGGGCCCCACAACCCTTCTTTGAGAACCGTTCTGGTGGATAGAGGTGCTTTCATCCCAATGGCTACTTGGATGCTCGGCCAAGCTAGCAGGTGATTAGCCACCCAGAGGTTTCACTCCCCCAAAAACCAGGTTCATCCCACTGAACGGAGGACAGAGTGGATGATTGCTCAGGTTGCCAACAAAAAACCCACTCGGCCGAACATCCAAGTACGGGCCTCCCTTGGCCAATCACTGCAAGCGGAACCCCAGCACTCCAGGCCAAGTGGCCCCACTTCTTCTTCTCCTGACAGCGCAAGTGCGGCAAGCAAGGAAGCAACCCTTGGCTTTTATGGGGTGTCCCTTTGGCTGATGATCCGGATGCGAACTCCGCACAACCGTTGTTGCGCCTCATCAATTGTGCAGCCCATTGGGCCCAAGACGACAGTGTCTAACATAATCTACAGAAAAATCGCTCGCGCCTCCATGCTTATCAGCCATGTTGGCTGTTCGCTCGATCTGTGAGTCACGCCGTTAAGTGAACCTCCAATGGTTGCTTGCGTGTCTTGTGTGTGTGTAGGAGAGCGTATGTCAAAGCCCAACTCTGCTTGAGCAACCATTTGAAACCCTACTCCTGGTCTTTTTGTTCGGCGAAAAAATATCCATACCTCTCCTCTCCCGAACACACGAAAAGTCCGAGTAGATCCGAGAATCCGCAAATCGGTGCTGTTCCCTAAGAGGTTGAAGTAAAATTGATTGTTGATTCAAAGGAACCTGGTAAATCAGCCTCCAGATTACTGTAGTTGATCAGCTTGAAGAACAACCCTTAATGTCAACTTCAGACTAATCCGGACCGTGTTGATCAGGTCGAACTCAACATTAGGCACACCAACACCTCCAGTGGGTTGCTTCCTTTTTCCATTTTTCTGCGTCAGGAAAACGACGACCCGCGCGGAGCCGGAGCCGGACGCCTCGTCCACGTAGCAGTACTTCTGCGCGGTCGAAGCACCCAGACACGGCCAGAGGCACGGGGTGCCCGCCGGCACCGAACTCAGCTCCGACGCCTTTGTGTCGGAGTCGATTTTTAGGGCAAGAGGTACCCTCACCATGACCAAAGACGGAAGTATGTGCGTCTTTTGTTATCCGGTATCCAAAAAAAATGGCCCAAAATGGTGGCTTTCCTGTTGGTTCCCCTTCTTAAAACCAAAAATGGCCCAAAATGGTGGCTTTCCTGTTGGTTCCCCTTCTTAACACCATCTACCCTGCAACTAGCGACAGACTGAAATGGTCCCTTCAAGAGGAAACTGATGTAAGAGGTACCTTCCGCGGGTGCCTATGCTGGGTACCCTTGAGGTTGTTTCAAAAATCGGAAAAACATCGATCGTCGGGATAGCTTCCCATTTTGAGACAACCATGCGGGCTGGGCGAAACATCGAATCCCGCGTGAAAGCAAGGGGCGAAAAGAAGACAGAACGGGTGTTCCACTACCGTCTGAGCAAAGGGTTCAAGAGGAGTTCATCGTGAAAGCGGCTAACCTCGCTGCCTGAGTGGACTGGCCAGAAGAAGTCCTGGAACTACTCGTTTGCCGCTAAAATGGTCCAAACCCAAAAAGTGACTAAAGTCAAGGCTAGGTCCTGCTGTGGAGAGGTTAGAGCAAGGGTACCCTTTTTTCTGTAGTCTGTTGTTGTAGGGGAACCCTCCCGCATAAAAAAGAAACGGGGAGTGAACTATTTGTTTGCCACTAAAACGGTCCGAACCCAAAAAGTGGTTCGAAAGTCCAGGATCTCAGGCAGTGCGAACAGGTGTATTCACCGGCACCCCGCTTGGCCCGCCCGAAGCGCCCCAAACCGCCTGGGTCACGCAGCCCACGGAGAAGAAGAGCGGCCGCGTCTTCGCCACCGCCGCGGGACCCGTGAAGCGGCCCTTCTGCCCGTCCACGCGCACCTGAAAACCAGAGAAGCGGAAGCTGAGAGATGCTGAGAGCCAGCTCCCTCTGAGTGTGGGCCTCTTTCTTTGTTTTTCTCGGAGGGTAAACACCCTTTTTGTGGCAGTGTTTAAGAGAAACCAAGAGGAAAACCACTCCTTTGTTCTGTTTTTGTCTTTTTGCTTTGTTTTGGGGGGGGGGGAGTCCCCTTAAAAAGGACACACTCACATACAAATGGGTGGTTACCCTCACTTGCCAGAACCCGGAAATACGAGGTGATTCACCTCTTGTGACCAAATATGGACGCCTGGAAAATCAAAAGTTCAAATCCGGTCGATTCGCCCAAGGCGGCAACTGGATGACCACCCCACTTGGTTTCTGGTGAATCTCCCCCGCGAAGAGTCCCCCGGCTTGCAAAATTTCGCCCATCCGCGCTATGTCACCGGAGTTCCCCAACTCAGTTGATCAATCTAGTGGAACCCCGATGAGCCGCAACTTCAGGACCAAGAAAGGGGGAAACCTCAGGGGACAAAACGCCGCCATTAGGAAGCTCGTGGTTTGGACCCCCAAACCCGGGAAAATTGGATCATTTGGCTGTTGTCAAAACCGATGGGATCCCATTTTGGGGTAGGTGCCCCACCCATTTTAGTCTATTTTAGTGGGATTGGGATGTTCTCTCGGGGTATGGGATTTGACCCATGGCCGTTTCAAGGTACACCGGGTTCCGAGAACAAGCCATGAACAAACAAGGAAATCGCTCACAAATCAAACCCGGGGTAGACCCACCTGAGCAATGTTTGACAACCTAGACTAACCCCTGAAAGCCATGCTCACAACCCAACAGAACAAGAGTTTCCGCTTGGCCCGACCAACCGTTTTAACAGACGGTGTAAACCACTGTTGCCAAAGCATCAACCAACACCCGGGTCCATGAAAGTGACATCAATGACATCCTGAACTCAAATCACTCAATGACAATCTCCACGACATCCCCAATATGAAAAATCGCGCCGAAAAGCAGTTTGGGGTTGCGCGTCTGTGTTTTACAACCTGCTTTGGGCTATTGCACTGGAAAGCCCAAAGGAAGCCCCCCAAAAAAAAAATGAAAATACAAATAAAACAAAACAAAAAACTAATCTATTGTGCGAAGCCCGAAAAAATCGGAATTGGGCGTGGGATGCGCCTGCAGGCTGTCCACGGACCAAACGGAGGATCCCACCGTCTCCACCCGCACCCCGTGCAAGCCTCGGCCGCTTGTTCGATTTGGCAAGCGGGGCCTTGATGCTCAACCCACGTCATATAGATATTTTGTTGGCAGCAATGCAGGTGAAAACCATTCATGAGAAAAGGTCGTAGCCCCGATCGGCCCTCCACTCCGGCTCTTGCAGGGATGGGCTGATGCTTTGCCAACTCCATTCTTCGGGAAGGCGGGAATCCAGTGACGTTTAGAAGAAGCTAGTTTCAAAAACTACCCTGCGCGGTTTTGGCGGCTCTTCCCTGTGGGTGATATGCAAGTCATAAGACCCTCAAAGTTTCCAGAGTCCAAGGATACGGCTGCGGGTCATACCCCTAGTGAGCCTCCCAATCCCCACTAAAATAGACTAAAATGGGTAGTGATTGGTTTTGACCCACAGCATTAAAGCCGCCAAATTCTCAGGGACAGCCCCCCCCACCTCCCGGACTAGGACTCCGGCGGAAGCTCGAAGGCAGCATGATGTTCTTCACAAAGGTGGCCTGCGGGGTTTCGTACGTCCCCCGTTGGTTGGGCTTCTTGTTGCTTCGTTTCAAAGGGACCAACTTTTTCAAAGAAAAAAAAGGAGAAAAAAAACGTCTCGGAGCACGATCGGAATATTTGACCACGGGAAAAGTAATCTTAGTACTTGTTTAGCCTCTGATACTAATTGCGAAATGGTTGGATGCCCGAACGGTGTCCCTTGCATCAAATTGCGGGGTGGTTGTGAAGTGAACCAGGTCCTCGTACAACCAAATCAAAGGTACCCCCCAACCTCCAAGCTAGCAATTAGGGGTAAGGAAACTCGACGTCCCTAAAGCAAACGCGGGAAAACTACGGAAAATCCGAATTCCCCAACCGGTTCATTAGGGTCACTAGGAGCGACCCGGGGTAAGGTAACTTTGATTTTCCTAAAACAAAAGCAGCAAAAGAACAGATACCCCCAACCCCTACGATTCCGCAGGGAAACTCCGCAGGGTCCAAAAGCACCTTTTTAGTCAAGGGTTCATGAAGAACATGACAGTGCTCTCTATCTCATCAACGAATCCGACAGCGTGACTCGGTGGAACAAACTGATGGACACTCTAGGGTTTATTTTGCACTTGTTTGCTCGGGGGAGTATTTAACATATGCCCCCCCCCCCCCCTGACCCCCACCACATCAAAACCATGCAAGCGCGCAACGTGCAACACCCATTTGGCTCTACCAAGAAGCCTGTATAAGGCCTACGTGAGCCATGGTCACAACTCCTTACATGGCCTATGGTCATGGTTGTCTGAGTAGGAATCATTATAATTATTCCCTATCAACCTCAAGAAAAGGAACCTTTTCTTTTGACCATGCGCTGTATAGCTTGATTCCCCCATTCGCCTCGTAACCTGTGCTCAGGCAGTGGCGGCCCTGCTCGCAGCTTTGGTCCGTCAGCACCAAAGCTTTGCGGTCCTGGCCTCGGCTGAGTTGGCACATGGCCGGGCCATGTGAGCGCCGCGCTCGGGGGCAAACCTGAAGCCTTTGGTTCTCGGCATCAGCGAGAGGGGGTTTGGAGGTATAGGGGTTATGTACTACTTTTATTATAGGGTTGATCAATATTCCCTTGTTCGGCCTCCAAATGACCGTGGGCGCAACTTTGACAATGTTGTTGACAATGATCTTGCTTAGTTGTTTTCCTCTGTTTTTTCCTCTGACTGTTTTTAGGGCAAAGGGTCTGGTAAAAAGCAGCAACTTGGCTATGTAGGAGGCTTCGGTTTGTTCATTACCCCAAGGTACATGAAGATGCCCTAGAGGCAGTTAGTTTCCCAAAAGGGAAACCAAATCCTGGGGTTAAAAAGCATGCATCGCAGCAATTGAATGCCTGTGTGGATCACGCGTATTTGCGAAACAAAATGCAAAAACCCAATTGCTTCTGCAAGTATCTACGCAGTCAGAATCAACAGCCCCACAAAGGCCGCACGTGTTCCTTCCGCTGAGGAGCCATTCAGACACTCATCAAACCAAAGAAACAATGCAGTGATAGTGACAAGTAGGAAAGTAGGACCTTGTATTACTCGTAGTGTGTACATGTGTATATGTGAAGATCAAGTGTCGGTATAACCACCTAGGGATCTACAAAAATTCATTTAGATCCGCAACGGCCAGATGTCAAAGGTAGAGTTCTCCCAAGCGGCACCGGCCCGGAGACTCGCACACCATCAGCCTGAAGCGGCCCAGCCTTGCGGAGCCCCCCCAACCCCCCCGGCACGACCATGGCTGACCAGGTCTCTCTGTAACCTCACACCACCAAAAGCTGAATTGGCCCAAAGGGAAATGTTTTAAAGCACCAAAAGGGGCCGAGGACAGGTCCTTAGCAACTCCTTAGAAAGTTTTTGGAAGGGGGGGGACCGAGTCGCACTCCCTAGCTCGGGACTCTTTGGTTGACATCATTGACATGCCGGAAACCTAGAGACTCCAAAAGCCCAAAGAGCAGGCAAGTAAAACTCACTAAAACTGCCCGTTGAAGGTTTGATGACCCTGAGCAACATGCCAGGCACAGCTTCGAACCCATAAAAATACTTCTCGGATGTCCTCAGATGCCCTGCTAAGAGTGACTAACTTTTAGTGAGTTGAATGGAAACCCAACCACGAAACCAACTTCAAACAACTAAAACCCTAAGGAACCGGACGCCTAACTGGCAGTCGCTCACCTCTCAGCCACCAATCTTTGCCACAGCAGGTGACCCGAATGTTCTCCGCGGCGTTTTCAGTAGCTCTAGCTCTGATGAGTGAAGAGAAGGGGGAATCAAACCTTATAATTTCATAGGTTTAGACCGAGTTTTAGCCCCTACTGCTTCAAACGTCAGGGGTTTAAGTGTCCAAACACTTGTTTCGGACCCAGCCAACACCAAAGAAAGACAATACATTAAACAAGCTAACCACTGAAAGGGCCTAGATAATTAGAACGAGGTGTGGGGGTGTGATCAAACCAAATTAAGCGTGTTCCCAGGGGAAGAATGTTTGCGAGTAGCCCCCTTACATCACACGAAAGATACAACCGGTAATCAAACACATAGCACACAAGCACCCACCCACCCACAAACAAGCAATCCAGCAAACGGATTACATGCGCTTTCTGTGGATTCCCCGCGTTGTTTTACCAGTTGGTCCTCTTTTAATACTCTTTTAGTACTCTTTTGCTATCCTACGGAGGTGGAGCCACAAAAACAGCATCCAAGCCGTTTCCTAGAAGCAAGTGAGCCAACTAGCAAACAAACAAACCAGGCAAGCACACACACTTTGCAGGTTCATTTCTTTGTGTAAACGCGGCCAGGCTACGTCCCCGCCCCGGCGGACCCAGAGGTAACCGCAGTGACCACCATCTCCGCCAGGCGCGGGATCAGCTTCAAGCCTCAGTTGGTTGGCCGAATTCCGAACCGTAGGGTTCAGCCCGCGTTAACGGAATGGCAAGGACCCAATTTAGATTATGACAATCCCTTGAATAAACAATGGCATTGTGAACCCCATTTTTGGTATCGGGGCTTGAATCTCAGGGTCCCCCAAAGCAGCTCTTCCGAGCCTCTAGAAACCCTCCTCCCAATGGTTCTGCAACCAAAGCAGAACAAAGCTACGAGGGTTCCATTTCAGGAAGCTTCCCCGGAAGCTCTTCAGACTCCAAATTCTCCGGCCCCCACCGCCCCCCCCCATGGAATTCAGAAACTTCCTGCCCAGACCTCGAAACCTTCAGGAACCCCCTTCGGCGGAGCTCCATTCCAGAGCTCAGCTGAAAGAAGAGGAACCCCCCAGGTTTCAAGACTGCCCAGCAAAGCCATTTCGTCCAAGGGGGTTGCCGTGAAAACGGCAAGGGGGTTCCCCCATCCAGGAACCCAAAAGTTCATAGGGGGTCCCCGGTGAACGCCAAAACGAACCCCGCTTCGCCCGAAGCGACGTCGCCGCTTCGCCCGAGGAGCCGCTGAAGGCCCCGGGCTGCCGCAGCCAACTCTTCGCCGCCGCCCGCTTGGCCTCCTCGGTGGGTTTTGATCGGGGTGTCCCATGAGGCCCGGGGTCCTTCACTTTGGAACAGCCCAAAATGACGTGCGATCGGTTCGATTGGCAGAGAATGACACATGGAATGACCCCGCGGAAAAATTCGCCGATTTTGAAAGGAACCCCCTTCTCGTTCATTCCCAACACCCGGAAACGTGATTCCCTAGTGAGCGCCAGCAAGATGAAACACCACCAGGTAGATTGATCTGCAAATTGTGGAGTTCAATTCCTGCAGAGAATTGGATCCCCAAGCAGAGGTTCTTCATCAAGGTTTACCGTTGCTTGGGGTTTTGCGGGGTGGGGGGGGGGGGGGAGGGCTCGGCAGGTTTGGGGGCTTTGGGGCTTTGGGGGCTTTTAGTGTTTTCGCTTTTTTGGGGGTTGAGACATTTGTGGGATTTCGATAGATTTTGGTGTTTGGGGTAGGCCTGCAGGTTGGCTCTTCCTCTCGGTCTCCTTTGAAGCCTGAAAAGAGTAGTGCCTCAAAAAGCACAAAAATCAATCCTAACGGGATGATTAGGGTTTCGTATGTAGACTTACCTCCCACCAACATGGCACCTGAGACAGGGTTCCTTGAAGCAACCCACGCAACAGCCGCGGCTCCGCGGCTCCTCTGCCGTGCGCAGGCGCCAGGTCACGCAGCGCCGCCGGTGCCGCGGGTCTTCCACCTCCTCCGCCGCGAAACCGAAAACGTGTTTATATTATTGTGTTTGTTGTTTTTTTGTATTATTATTACTATTAATATTATTGCTATTGTTGTCATTATTATTATTGTTATTATTATTATTCTAATTAATGTCAACCTATGATTAAAGAACCTCCCCCAATTAAAGTTCTGTTGCGGGCTGGCACTGATTAATAAACCCCCTCGAAATAAAGTTCTTCCCAAAAGCATCTCTGATGCTTGGGTTCTGCTTTAGGTTTTCTCTTAAGGTGCCTGGGAGCGATACAAGCTGTGACAACGGAGATAAGAAGGGATTTCCATTTGGTTGTGCTGCAGACCGGGACCGGGCGTACGAGGCTGGCTGGGAAGAAGGCGGTGTGGTGCAGACTGGGTGCGCGAGACTGGCGCGGTGGACGCTCGTGACAAGCGGAAACCGCCCCCGAGCAAGACGGGCGCGGGGACGCTCGTGACAGGCCGAAACCGCCCCCGAGCGAGACGGGCGCGGGGGACGCTCGTGACAGGCCGAAACCGCCCCCGAGCGAGACGGGCGCGGGGGACGCTCGTGACAGGCCGAAACCGCCCCCGAGCGAGACGGGCGCGGGGGACGCTCGTGACAGGCCGAAACCGCCCCGAGAGACGGGCGCGGGGGACGCTCGTGACAGGAAAAACCGCCCCCGAGCGAGACGGGCGCGGGACGCTCGTGACAGGCCGAACCGCCCCCGAGCGAGACGGGCGCGGGGGACGCTGGCGGGGCGCGGGGACGTGCTCGTGACAGGCCGAAACCGCCCCCGAGCGAGACTGGCGCGGTGGACGCTCGTGACAAGCGGAAACCGCCCGCGAGCGAGACTGGCGCGGGGGACGCTCGTGAGAGGCCGAAACCGCCCCCGAGCGATACGAGTGCGGGGGACGCTCGTGACAGGCCGAAACCGCCCCTGAGCGAGACCGGCGCGGTGGACGCTCGTGACATGCGGAAACCGCCCGCGAGCGAGACTGGCGCGGTGGACGCTTGTGACAAGCGGAAACCGCCCCCCGAGCAAGACTGGACGCTCGTGACAGGCCGAAACCGCCCCCGAGCGAGACGGGCGCGGGGGACGCTCGTGACAGGCCGAAACCGCCCCCGAGAGCGAGACGGGCGCGGGGGACGCTCGTGACAGGCCGAAACCGCCCCCAAGCGAGACTGGCGCGGTGGACGCTCGTAACAAGCGGAAACCGCCCGCGAGCGAGACTGGCACGGGGGACGCTCGTGAGAGGCCGAAACCGCCTCCGAGCGAGACGGGCGCGGGGGACGCTTGTGACAGGCCGAAACCGCCCCCGAGCGAGACTGGCGCGGTGGACGCTCGTGACATTCGGAAACCGCCCGCGAGCGAGACTGGCGCGGTGCCCGTGACAAGCGGAAACCGCCCCCGAGCGAGACGGAGCGAGACGGGCGTGGCGGACGCTCGTGACAGGCCGAAACCGCTCCCGAGCGAGACTGGCGCGGTGGACGCTCGTGACATGCGGAAACGCCCGCGAACGAGACTGGCGCGGTGGACGCTCGTGACATGCGGAAATTTGACCGCCCTCAAGCAAGACTGGCGCGGTGGATGCTCGTGACATGCGGAAACTGCCCGCGAGCGAGACTGGTGCGTTGGGCGCTTGTGACATGCGGAAACCGCCCGCGAGCGAGACTGGCGCGGTGGACGCTCGTGACATGCGGAAACCGCCCGCGAGCGAGGTGGACGCTCGTGACATGCGGAAACCGCCCGCGAGCGAGATTGGCGCGGTGGACGCTCGTGACATGCGGAAACCGCCCGCGAGCGAGACTGGCGCGGTGGACGCTCGTGACATGCGGAAACCGCCTGCGAGCGAGGCTGGCGCGGTGGACGCTCGTGACAGGCGGAAACCGCCCGCGAGCGACACTGGCGCGGTGGACGCTCGTGACATGCTCGTGACAGGCGGAAACCGCCCGCGAGCGAAACTGGCACGGCGGACGCTCGTGACAGGCGGAAACCGCCCGCGAGCGAGACTGGAGCGGTGGACGCACGTGACATGCGGAAACTGCCCGTGAGCTAGACTGGCGCGGTGGACGCTCGTGACATGTGGAAACCGCCCGCGAGCCAGACTGGCGCGGTGGACGCTCGTGACATGCGGAACGCTCGTGACATGCGGAAACCGCCCGCGAGCGAGACTGGCGCGGGGGACGCTCGTGACATGCGGAAACCGCCCGCGAGCGAGACTGGAGACGCTCGTGACATGCGGAAACCGCCCGCGAGCGAGACTGGCGCGGTGGACGCTCGTGACATGCGGAAACCGCCCGCGAGCGAGACTGGCGCGGTGGACGCTCGTGACATGCGGAAACCGCCCGCGAGCGAGACTGGCGCGGTGGACGCTCGTGACATGCGGAAACCGCCCGCGAGCGAGACTGGCGCGGTGGACGCTCGTGACATGCGGAAACCGCCTGCGAGCGAGACTGGCGCGGTGGACGCTCGTGACATGCGGAAACCGCCCGCGAGCGAGACTGGCGCGGTGGACGTGACTGCGGAAACCGCCCGCAAGCGACTGGCACGGTGGCTCGTGACATGCGGAAACCGCCCGCGAGCGAGACTGCTGGCGCGGTGGACGCTCGTGACATGCGGAAACCGCCCGCGAGCGAGACTGGCGCGGTGGACGCTCGTGACATGCGGAAACCGCCCGCGAGCGAGACTGGCGCGGTGGACGCTCGTGACATGCGGAAACCGCCCGCGAGCGAGACGGGCGCGGTGGACGCTCGTGACATGCGGAAACCGCCCGCGAGCGAGACTGGCGCGGTGGACGCTCGTGACATGCGGAAACCGCCCGCGAGCGAGACTGGCGCGGTGGACGCCGTGACATGCGGAAACCGCCCGCGAGCGAGACTGGCGCGGTGGACGCTCGTGACATGCGGAAACCGCCCGCGAGCGAGACTGGCGCGGTGGACGCTCGTGACATGCGGAAACCGCCCGCGAGCGAGACTGGTGCGGACGCTTGTGACATGCGGAAACCGCCCCGAGCGAGACTGGCGCGGTGGACGCTCGTGACATGCGGAAACCGCCCGCGAGCGAGACTGGCGCGGTGGACGCTCGTGACATGCGGAAACCGCCCGCGAGCGAGACTGGCGCGGTGGACGCTCGTGACATGCGGAAACCGCCCGCGAGCGAGACTGGCGCAGTGGACGCTCGTGACATGCGGAAACCGCCCGCGAGCGAGACTGGCGCGGTGGACGCTCGTGACATGCGGAAACCGCCCGCGAGCGAGACTGGCGCGGTGGACGCTCGTGACATGCGGAAAACGCCCGCGAGCGAGACTGGCGCGGTGGACGCTCGTGACAGGCGGAAACCGCCCGCGAGCGAGACTGGCGCGGTGGACGCTCGTGACATGCGGAAACCGCCCGCGAGCGAGACTGGCGCGGTGGACGCTCGTGACACGCCGGCGAGCGAGACTGGCGCGGTGGACGCTCGTGACATTCCGGCGAGCAAGACTGGCATGGTGGACGCTCATGACTTGCGGCAACCGCCACGTGCGCGGCTCCATGTGAACAGCCCGGCGCTACCTGACCCGAACAAACGGACGAACCCTATCTTCAGAACCTCTGGGGGTTCGCCCTACTTATTTGGAAGCAGCCTGGAAGCACGTTGACATGAATATGCTGAGCACACTCGGCCCAAACAAAAGGGCGCATGAACATCCGAACAGCTGACCCCGGTCTACGCAGATCGTGGTAACACTGTGTCTCAGACCTGTTTCGGACAGGCGTCAGACCCACCAAGTGACCGAGGCTTGTCCACACCGAGCCCCCCGCAAAAGCGCAGCGCCGGCCCCGTCTCCACACACCTGCGGCGAATCCACCCAACTTGCCATCCACACGCATCCAATTGACAACGTGCGCGGCCCTTTCCACAAAGTCACCAGTTGCAATTGGTTGCGAATGGGAAAATAGGTGGAGAAACTAACGAATCCAAGCAAGCTTACGAAGCAAGTTTGTGAAGGCCACGTGCACGGCTCCATGTGAACAGCCCGGCGTTCCAGGTGCGCCAACATTGTCATTTTTGCCGCACACCTGACCCAAACAAATGGTGCCAATGTGTTTCTAGGACGAACCCTCTCTTCAGAAGCTGTAGCCTCTTGGGGTTCGCCCTACTTATTTGGAAGCAGCCTGGAAGCACGTTGACATGAATATGCTGAGCACACTCGGCCCAAACAAAAGGGCGCATGAACATCCGAACAGCTGACCCCGGTCTACGCAGATCGTGGTAACACTGTGTCTCAGACTTGTTTCAGACAGGCGTCAGACCCACCAAGTGACCGAGGCTTGTCCACACCGAGCCCCCCGCAAAAGCGCAGCGCCGGCCCCGTCTCCACACACCTGCGGCGAATCCACCCAACTTGCCATCCACACGCATCCGATTGACAACGTGCGCGGCCCTTTCCACAAAGTCACCAGTTGCAATTGGTTGCGAATGGGAAAATAGGTGGAGAAACTAACGAATCCAAGCAAGCTTACGAAGCAAGTTTGTGAAGGCCACGTGCGCGGCTCCATGTGAACAGCCCGGCGTTCCAGGTGCGCCAAGATTGTCCTTTTTGCCACACACCTGACCCGAACAAATGGCGCCAATGTGTTTCTAGGACGAACCCTCTCTTCAGAGTCTGTGGCCTCTTGGGGTTTGCCCTACTTATTTGGAAGCAGCCTGGAAGCACGTTGACATGAATATGCTGAGCACACTCGGCCCAAACAAAAGGGCGCATGAACATCCGAACAGCTGACCACGGTCTACTCAGATCGTGTTGTAACACTGTGTCTCAGACTTGTTTCAGATGGGTGTAGAGCGAGCTTATGCCTTGTTTCCAATTTGAGAGTGGTAGTTTGTGCGGATCCATTTTCGGATTTCTGCGATTGGTTCTTCATGATGAATCGGATGACTTCGTGCCTTCCATGTAGTGCGGGGCCTGTCATGTTTCACCCGTGCCTTTGCCTGTTTCTCTGTGCTTGAGTCGCGGTTGCTCCCCTTC